GAGGCCTACACGGGAGTGTAAACATGAGGAGGCGGGAAATTGGGGATGCTGACTACCACACATGTTACTTTGTATGGCACATGAACATCTCATGATCCAGTATCATTTCGTACTGTTTTATGCTTTTAAATTCTACTTTTTAAAAGCTTAACATCAATAATGTTCTGAAAATACCTTGTTGCTCGATATATATTCTTATTCATCTTCTTTTTCTTATTTTTTCACATCCCTCTCTTTTTCAAAATCATTTTATTGGGGGCTCTTACAGCTCTTATAACATTCCACATATCAATTGTATCAAGAACATTTGTACATATGTTGCTATCATCATTTTCTAAACATTTATTTTCTATTTGAGCCCTTGGTATCAGCTCCTCTTTTTTTCCCTCCCTCCCACCCTTGTGACTCCTTGATAAATTATAAATTATTATTATTATTTCATATCTTACACTGACCAGTGTCTCCCTTCACCCACTTTCTGTTGTTCAGACCCCTTGGCGGGGGGATAGGGTGGGGGAGGGTGAGTTATGCATCAATCATTGGGATCAGTTCCCCCTTCCTCCCCTCTGCTTCCCCTTAACCTCCTGGAACTGCTACTCCCCCATTTCTGTCCTGAGGGGTTTATCTGCCCTGGATTCTATGTGTTGTGAGCTCTTATCTGTACCAGTGTACATGCTCTGATCTAGCCAGAACTGAAAGGCAGGACTGGGGTCATGATAGTGGGGGTGGGGTGGGGTGAGGAAGCCTCAAAGAACCAGCGCCCTGGCTGACCCATCCCTTCTTTGTAACCCTTCTGTAAGGAGATGTTCTACTGTCTAAAGATGGGCTTTGGCTCCCTGCTCGGCTCCCCTCGTTCTCAACAATATGGTTTTTTTGTTTGTTTGTTTTGGGTCTTCTGGTGCCTGCTACCTGATTTCATCGACACCTCATGATCGCACAGGCTGGTGTGCTTCTTCCATGTGGGCTTTGTTGTTTCTCAGTTAGATGACCACTTGTTTAACTTCAAGCCTTTAAGACCCCAGATGCTATATCTTTTGATAGCTGGGCACCATCAGCTTTTGTCACCACATTTGCATGTGCACCCATTTTTGTCTTCAGCGATCTTGTCAGGAAGGTGAGCATCACAGAATGCCAGGTTGTTAGAACAGTGTTCTTGCATTGAGGGAGGGGCTTGAGCCAGAGGCCCAAAGTCCATCCACTTCCTCAGGGTATTGCCATATAAATATATGTCCATGGGCCAATATCTCTATTTTTATGAATTAATATATTTACTTATGTGCACAGCTATGTTTATACCTCTATCCATAGCTTTGCTTCCTCATCATATCATTTTTTGATGTACATAATTAGATGTTTCAGTACAAAATGTGTATAATTAGATGGATTTTTATAAACAAACAGCAAAAATAATTCCTCTGCTATTCAATCAATTCTGACTCACAATGGCCCTGTAAGAAAGAGTAGAATTGTTCCATAGGGTTTCTGAGACTGTAAATATTTACATAAACCAATTGTCTCATCTTTCTCCTAAGAGACTGCTGGTGGGTTCGAACGGTCTATCTTTCAGTTAGCCACCCAATGTTTAACCAGGGTTCCTTGTGTTTTTATACACAAAGAAGCAAACAAGCCTCCTGCCATTGAGCAGGGTTATATCTCACTGTTGGTAGCCCTGTAGGACAGAGTAGAATGGGCCCCCTAGGGTTTCTGAGGCTGCAAATCTTTATTGAGGCAGAAGTAGGGAGGCTGGTAGATTCCATCACTGACTTTGAGGTTAACAGCCCAATGTGCAACCCCTATGCCGACAGGGATCCTCTTTGTTTTTTTAATATAGCATATATATAATTAGATTTATTTCTAATCCAATTGAAAGTCTACTGAGAGAAACTGAAATTTCTATTCATTTCGTATGATGGTCTATTTTCAGTTGGATCCTTCATCTCTTCGAGGTGAGGACTGGAGGGATTTATGGCCCCCTAAACTTGAAATGTACCAGAAGCTGCCTCTCTATAGTGTATCGATCATAGAATTAAGAGCACATGTTGTGATGGAAATGTTGATTGTAAGTAATTATACATCAGTGCAGTCCAATATCAAATCACCGCTCCCCCAGGACCAGGAAGAGGAGTCCTGTAGGAAGTCAAAGTAGACAGAGATGAGGGAGCTGTCACAAGGAAAAGAGAACAGGTTTTACTCAACAATCCCTGGACAAAATCGAGGTGCAGCTGGCAGTGGGCACTCCCTACATAGCTCTGGAGACACGGAGCCGGGGCACTTAGTGGGACAGCACCCGCGCCTTCTCTGGGGATGGGCTTTCTGGCTTGGTCTTCTTTGCTCCGCCTGCGGCCACACAGCCGTCTGGTGTTGTCAGGCTTATGTGTCACCTTCGTTTCTGTCTTCTGCACGAATTTGGAAACAAGCATCCACTGTACTTATGACATTAACTTTCGATATAAGGAAACATAGACGTAGGGCTGAGGTGGGAGGGGAGAGGCTTCAAAAATGGTGTAGGGAAAATGCTATTAAAAGATCACAGAATTCTCCCATGATTTTTGGGGAAACACCCTCCTGTGTAAACTTATGTGTTTTTCCTGATCAAAGTCACAAGAAGCCATTGTCTCTGGCTCCCCTGTAATTAAAGTAACAAATTTAGCATACTTTTGTTCTACTTATGCTTCAAGCTACCTTAAAACATATCTAACACACGCACCTTACAGTAAGCAATCATTTGCGATCCAAAGGCTAGCACTGATTCCAGGAAAAATCCCAGAAGGGTGAGGAAAGAAGAAGGAGTGGAAACCGAAGCACAGAGGTGTGAGATGAGCGATGCACACTGTGGGGATTGCACCCCACGATGTGAAACAAAACGTGTCTGGTTTGTCCGTGGAAAACTGATCTGCTCTGCAAACCTTCATCCAATTCACGAAAAAAAAAAGTTTTTCATGTTTTAGTATTACAAACCCAATCTATTATAGAATCAGGTGACTCATCAATTTTTTTTCCTTTTTTCCCCAGAAAATATATGCTTGCTTCTTTATTTACTTTCACAACTAATTTTTAGAATGTATTTATTGATGTCACTCTTTACTGAATTGGTTATTTTAGTCCTTTTATATCAAGACTTCCTTGTTCTGAGCGATTGATTTTGAATGTCATTTGGAGCAGGTTTTGAGCAATTTTTAAGTCAGGTCATTTGAGTGAAATTGCATTCAATTCTTAGTAGCTACCATTTTCCTCCTGTTGCCTATACTCATGAACTGAAATTACCATATATACTCGAGTATAAGCCAAGGCACCTAATTTTACCATTAATAATTTAACTATTTTTAACGCTGGGAAAGCTTTTTTCTATTATGTCTGTGGTTATTATTTCGGTTCCAGAATTTTTTTGGAATATTTGTTATCCATCGATTAGATTTCTACTATGTTCGCTCAGTATTTAGTGTTGTCTCTTATTATGATTTCATCTGGATCCTTTTCCTCTACGGTCTCAGAATGCGAATTCACTGGTTCTCATGTCACTTTGTTAATTCTGCTCTCTCGTGCCTCTAGAGCCTTTATTTGCCTTTGACCGTATCTTGCTTTTGTTTTGGCTGTCACCATGTTTTGTAGGCGGTACTTTAACACACACACACCCCTCCAGATGTGCCCTTGCTTTCTGGCAGAGTCTCCCCTCGGTTCAGATCTCTACAGGAGGATGAATTGGTTTGTGTGCGAGGCTCACCTTCCAGCACATTCTCCGCACGTCAGACTCTGCTGCACTGGGAAGGTTCTTGTCCACTCTTTTCAGGGCTCTTCCTGTAGAGCATCCGTTCTCAACCTGTGGGTCATGACCCCTTTGGGGACCCAACGACCCTTTCACAGGGGTTGCCCAATTCATAACAGTAGCAAAATGACGGTCATGAAGTAGCAACGAAAATAATGCTATGGTTGGGGGTCACCACCACATGAGGAACTGTATGAAAGGGTCAAGGCCTTAGGAAGGTTGAGAACCACTGCGGTAGAGCACTTCCTAACGGAATACGCATCTCCACGTGCTACAAGTCGTTCTCCCATCCTCCCACTCTGTGCTGTATACTAGGAAATAGAAACTTGGACTTGATATAAAAGGAGAATTGAAGGGGGAAATGTGTGTGTCCCTCAGTTCTGGCCCCTTAGAACTTAATTCTCATCAAGAAGGAAGGTGTGGTCTGGTTTCTGGGTATAATAGCCCTGAGGCTCTGAGTCTGGGTCAATAAATTCCAAATCTATTGCCATCTAATTGATTCTGACTCATAGTGACTCTGTACGGCAGAGTAGAACTCCCCCTTTAGGTTCAAGGCTGTACAGCTTTAAAGAAGCAGAGAGCCTCATCATTTTCCCAAGGAGTGGCTGGTTGGTGGTCTTGAACTGATGTTGTAGTTAGCATCCCAAAGCGTAACACATTATCCCGCTAGGATCTCTTGGAGAGAGGAGTGGGATGGTAAAGGCTTTCCTCGGGGTCTTGCTGGGCCAGGGTAAGTTTGCTCAAATAAACCTGACTGGTCCTGTACTTAGCAAAAAATCCCTCTCTATTTCTATCACTGATTATGGAAGGTGTTCTATTTTCTGCAAGTTTCATGGACATCTTAATAGAAAGTAAGAAAGTAGAAAAGTACATTTCAGGCTAATCTATCCATTAATTTTTATGTATGTCTAATGTACCCTGGTTCCCTTAGAAAAGAAGACATTGATTATCCATAGAGAACAATGAATTTTCATTGTCAGTAAGGACAAAAATTTAAGTTTGCTCATGAAGTCCCACGGCAGCCAGTGGTGCCAGTGTGTGGAATTCCACAGGAGGCCAACAAAGCATCTAGCCTGCAAAGCAACAATGCTGCCACGCGAAACTCTAGGCAGTTCCAGAAGCTTAGAGCCAAGCTTACTCTCCTCCACTACACTGACAATTAGGTGGTTCACTAGGAATAAATGAATGTGCCTTAAACACAGATAAAGAGGAAATATATCACAGTGCATTTTCTTACCTTATTATAAATTCTGGCCACCAAACTCCGTTGAAGAACCCTTGCACGAAAATTCACTGCTTTCAACAGAAAGGCGAGTTGGCCGACTGTGTCCACGTTAACTGCCAGAAAACTGAAGGAAAAACACAAGCATCGTCACGATTGTTGGGGCCTCACTGAAGAACTTCATGTGAAAGAAAGTTGTCTGTTTGCTTTACAAAATGAATTTTCTTCTAATTCAGTGACATTAATCACATGCATCACCACCATCCATTTCCAAATTCCCCATCACCTTTAACAAAAGCTCCGTGTCCCCTAAGCAATGAGTCTCTCCTCCTCGTTCCCTCCCACCCTTCCTGGGTACCACTAATAAACTTAGGTCTTTATCCACTGGTCTGTTCTAGATAGAAGGGGAAGTAAGAAGCATTGCTACAGGGTGCCTGTTCATATATGCACCGGTGTCTTCCAAGCAAGCCATGTTTAAATATGTTTCAGTGACCAAAGAATGGCTGCAGGCGAGTTCTACCACTCATCCGCCAGTCCTGGTCTCACTAGGATGCCTTCAAAGAGAGGTCCAATCAAATCAGTGGCTTCCGAGGGGACCCGCTGGCGGTCAAACTCAAGGCAGAGAAGTCCGTTCAGAAGATTATGGTGACTGGTTTTGGAATTCCAAAGGGTATGAGATGTTTCAAAGAACCTAGGAGCTCATTAAGACAATGGGGAGCTGATGAGAAAACGATGGGAAAGTTGTACAGTACTGAGGAATTTTTCTTTCTTTCTTTATGACAACGTGCCTGCTCATTCTTTGAAGGTAGCGAGGTCGGCCTACGGGAATTTCACTGGGAAACTTTACCCTGGCTACCCTGCACCCCTGATTTTGCTCCTTCAAACTTCCTCTGGTTCCCCAAACTAAAAGGCCATTTAAAAGGAACACATTTAAAAGAAACAGTCCCTCAGGGATACTAAATCTACCCTCTGTAAGTAGTATAAATTGCAGAGGGCAGAGATCTGTAGGTAAAGGTTAAACAGATGGAAACATCGCCTTCCGAAGTATATAGACAGAGTGGAAGATGTTGAGAAACTACAGTTTTACACTGTAATATTTTTCTATTTACCCACATATGTTACATGTATCTTTACCATGAGGAAAAAGAATGTTCTTTCAATGATAATGTAGTGTAAGTGCATAGAAGGCCCTGCTCCATCTCACGCTTATATGTGTGCCTCACTTCAGATGAATACTCAAATCTAACAACTACAGAGGTGCTACATGATTGACCTGGTAGGATAGAATTTATTGGGTGTCCTGCTTTTTCCACTTACTATTCTATTATAAATAATTTTCAATACATTATTTAGCTCTCCTTCATTAATAGCTACATATTTTCCATCAAGTAGTTTATAATAATGAGTCACTGTTGAAAATTTATTATAAATATTTCCTGAACTGAATATTAATAGTCAATTATGTCTAACATCACAATTGTTAGTCTCAAAGTTTCAGCTATGTGATGTCAATGAATAATACTAACTATATTATCTATCAAGAACCATGCTAAGTATCCACAGTGAATGATTTCACCATCACAATAATTCTATAATGTGGATGCTATACTTACTCCAATTTATAGTTGTGGAAACTAAAGCGTGGCGAGATCGAGTAACTTGCTGGAGTCAATGCCATGTTTTTGTCCAAGGGCAGACCGATATTTAAGGGGAAGTGAGCCGCAAGGTGCAGGGAGAAGCATGGGACAGCACGGGGAGGGGCAGCTCACAGAGAGGGGGACCTTCTTCAGCAGCGAAGGGGTTCTACCATCTCTAGCGGGCAAATGAGGAGCCTGAGGCACAAGGGAATTAAGGGGCTTATGTGAAAACAAATCTCCTTCCATAGCCCATGAGCTTTTATCATCCTTCGCTGCCCTTTGTGCTAATGTTGCCCCTGATCTGTTCTTAGGATCTGGATAAATGACTAGGATAGTGAACTTCGTGTGTCAAGTTATCGAGGCTGCAGTGCCCAGCTGCTCGGTCAAACACTACTATAGACGTTGTTATCAAACTTTGATGCTATTAAATTAGCTGGTCTTAATTAAAGCAGATTTCCCTTCATAAAGACACTCAATCAGTTCGAAGGCCTTACGAGCAAACAGGGAGCTTCCCTAGCGTATGTTCTGCCGCGACGATGAAGAGATGCTGCTAGAACCTCCTCAGCCTTCCCATCGCCTGACTACCGATTTTGGAGGAACCTCTAGCTTCTTGCTTGACCTACAGATTTGGGGATCACTGGCATGAGCCACTTTCTTAAAGCAAATTTCTCTCTTCTGTGTCTCTCGGGCGAACCTGGAGTAAAACAACAGCTGAGAGGCTAATAAGCACCTAGGGCTCCCAGAGGACAGACACCCTTGGCTGCCCACCTCCACGTCCCAGAGACATAAGTCATGATGACCCCCCAAAAACAAAGATTTTCAACTAGTTCAAATTAACAGCACATAAGTCAGCATTGTCATTTAATAAGAAGTCAAGAGAGAGACTTAAGAAGCAACTGGCTTAGTCATGTTGGGAATGCCATGTGCTGAGTGAACAATTGCTCTTCTTTGGGGCAGAGAAGATGTGAGGTTACCCAATATTTACACGCAATTACCTGGACATGTTACATGTATCAATATTACTCTGAATCTGGTCTTAACTGTGGTAGCAAATCAAACTTTTTCTGAAGGTGAAGAATGTTCACAGCCTATCGGAAAGCACGTGGCAGTCATCCCAGGGACTGACTGTCCTATAGAACCTGGAGGCAATGCGTGCTGTTGTAGGGACCTACCTTCCTTGGGTGTTAGAGAGATGTTTGTGCGTCTGAAGTTATGAACTGTGCATGCTCACCCCCAGTCCTGTGACGATTCACAGGTGGATCACAAGCACACTGACATAGCTCTCAGCACTCACGTAAGGCAGTAGAGAGGGGCAACTCTTAACATTCAGAAAATCGATAAAAAGCAATCTTGCAATCATTTACATTATAAGAAGATCAAAACTCACTGCCGTCAAGTCAGTTTTGACTCATAGATCAATATGACTCAAAATGAAATCAGGTTCAGATTAAAGTCAAGTGCACATCATTGGTGGCCAACAAAATACAATTGCAAACCACAATGAGGTAATACTATACATTCGCCAAAACTCAAAACCAAACTCCCTGGCGTTGAGTCAATGCTGAGTCATCGTGATCCCACAGGACGGGGTAGAACTGCCCTTGCGGGTTTCCAGACTAACTCGAGGGGTGAAGAAAGCCCCTATTTCTCTTGAGGAGCGGCTGGAGGTTTGGAATGCTGACTTTGCAGTGAGGAGCCCAGCACATCATGACCAGGGCTCCTGTCCATTCACCAGAATGACTAAAATTAAATACATAGAAAATCCCAAACACTGGCAAGATTGTGGAGCAACTAGAATTTTCATACTCACGGACAGAAGTGTAAAATAATAAAACCATACTGAGGAAGCCTCTCAGTCTCTCAGAAAGCCAGACAACTGTGTACCTGTGGCCTAGCGAGTCCATTCCCATGATCTTTCTGAGAAACAGAAACATGCTCACGAAAGCAGAGCACCACTCTTGGATGCTGATCCAAAGCTTGGTGGCTGGAACTCACCAGCTGCTCTGTAGAATGTAGCAAGATGTGACGATGTGTTACCTCAGAAATCCTGCAGAGTGATCCACTACCCTACGGCATCTTTAGGAATTGGGGTCTACTTGACAGCAATGGGCATCTTTTCTTTTTTCTTTTTAAAAAATATTTTAATCCATATATTGTTATGGTTCAGTGTCATCAGGTCCATCCCGCCTCACAGCAACTTAGTTATGTCCGGTCCTGTGCCACCCTCACAATTATCCGGTTTGAGCCCACTGTTAGAGCCACTACGTCAATGTACATCATTGACATTGACGGCCTCCCTCGTTGGGGCTGACTTCCTTACCAAACACCATGTCCTTGTCCAGGTTTGGGTCTCGCCTGATAACATGCCCAGATATGTTGTGCCGCGAAGTCAGTTCTGACTCGCAGTGCTCTTACACACAGCAGACGACAGCACTGCCCAGTCCTGCACCCTCCCCACAATCACTGCCTGTGTGCGCCATGGTGGCAGCCACCACACTCATCAGTATTGTCAAGGGTCTTCCTCCTTTTCACTGTCTCTCGACTTCACTAAGCATGATGGCCTTTTCCTCTGAGTCGGCATCAAATTGATAGCAGTGAGCTTGGTTTGGTTTTTGGTACTTCGTTCAAGACAGATTTGCACCTCCTTCTGGCAGTCCATGGTACTTTCAATATTCTTGGCCGGCACCTTCATTCAAATGCATCGCTTCTTCTCCAAGCTTGCTTATTCAGCGTCGAACTTTCACTTGCATGTGTGGTGATCAAAAAGCTCATGGCTTGGGTCAGCCACATCTTAGTCCTCAAAGTAACGTCCTTGCTTGTCAACACTTTAGAGATGTCTTGTTGCAGTAGATGTACCCAAAGCCATTAGTCAGTTGATCTCCTGACTGCTACCTCCAGGAACACTGACGGTGGATCCAAGCAAGGTGAAATCCTTGGCTACTTCAACCTTTCCTCTGTTTATCCTGAGGTTACCTATTGGTCCAGTTGTGAGGATTTGGGTCTTCTTGACATCATGTTGTAATCCATACTGAAGGCTGCACTCCTTGGTCATCAACAAGTGCTTCAAGCACTCCTCACTTTCAGCAAGCAAGGTAAGTTGTGTCATCTGCCTATCACAGGTCGTTAATAAGCCTTCCTCCAGTCCTAATGCCCCATTCTTTTTCATATAAGCCAGTGGCTCTGATGAAATCCGAATGCAGCATACAGCTTGAAAGAGTGTGGTGAAAGGATACAACCCTGATGGACACCTTTTTGATTTTAAGACCTGCAGTATTCTCCTGTTATGTTCGGACAGCTGCCTCGACCCATGCGCAGGTCCCAAATGCACAATTAAGTGTTCTGGAATTCCCATTCTTCTCAAGGCTATCCATGCTTTATTATGATTCACACAGTCGAATGCCTTTCCATAGTCAACAAACACAAGTAAACACCATTCAGATATTCTGCTTTCAGCCAAGATCCATCTCATGTCAGCACAAATATCCCTGGT